TTAGAGGTAGATCTGATTGTGGTACTTACCCAGAAGTTTTGACTTGCCCAAGATCATGCAATTCATAGGACTGACTCTAAACTCATCATTCTAGCTATTAAGCCATGGTGCCTCTTATCTTTGGAGGCAGCTAGGCAGCTCAGTGGATAGAGTACCAGGACTGGGGTCAGGAAGACCTGGGTTCAAATATGACCTCAGACACTTAGGAGCTGTGTGACCCTGGGCAAGTCACTTAACTTCTGTTTGCCTTGATCCACTGGTAAAGAAAATGACACACCACTCCTGTGTCTTTGCCAAGAAAACTCCATGGATGGTATTGGCATGCTTTGTGACCACATGGTCACAAAGAATCGGACACAACGGAATAACAACAACAACTTCTTATCTGTGTAGTGATTCCTAATGAGGTAGCTTCCTGGAGTCAGGAAGTTGTGGTTGTTCAGTTGTCATTTCAATCAGATCTGACTCTTCATGACCCCATTTTTCTATAGGTTTTTTACAGATGAAGAAACTGAAGCAAACAGGGTTAAGTGACTTGCCAAGAAACACACAAGTGTCTGAGGCTGGATTTGAATTCAGGAAGATGAGTCTACCTGACTCCAGGCTAGGAACTCTATCCACTGTACCAGCTATCTTCCCAGAGTCAGAAAAACCTGTGTTCAAATCCTTGCTTCAGCCACTTACTGTCTCTATGTCCCTGTGCAAGTAATTTACCTTTTATTTGCTTCTGTTTCCTCATCTGTAAAAGGGGGATAATAACAGCACCTACCTCCCAGGGTTGTTATGAAGATCAGAGGAGATTATAATGGTAAAATGCTTAACACAATGTCTGGCATATTGTTGTTGTTGTTTGTCCTTCATTCTCGAAGAGGACCAATGTGTCATGCCTTGCAAGTGAATTGGATTTCAGTGAGGCAGAGCTGTGCAAAGTCACCAGCCTCACATCTGGGTCCAGTGGCAAGATATAGATCAGGACTAGGAGAAATGGTCCCAGATGCAGTGAGGAAGCTTGGCTTTTTACGTGTGTGTGGGTGTGTGTATGTATGCATATATATATATATGTATGTATGTATATATACACACACACATGTATATATACACACACACATATATATATACATACATACATATGTATAATTTATTTATTTATTTTTAGTTTTCAACATTCACTTCCATAAGATTATGAGTTCCAATTTTCACCCCATCTCTCCCTTCCCTCCACCCCAAGGTAGTATGTAAATTGATATAGGCTCAACATATACATTCATCTTAAACCTGTTTTCATATTTGTCATGTAAAGAAGAATTAGAACCAATGAGAGAAACCATGCAAAAGAAGAAACAAAACAAAGGAAAAAGAGAGAGAGAAAATAATATGCTTCAATCTGCATTCAGATTCATAGTTCTTTTTCTGGATGTGGACAGCATTTTCCATCATTAGTCTTTTGGAGTTGTCTTAGATCTTTGCATTGCTAAGAAGAGATAAGTCTATCAAAGTTAGCCATCATACAGTGCGGCTGTTACTGTGTACAATGTTCTCCTGGTTCTGTTCACTTCACTCTACATCAGTTCATATAAATCTTTCTAGGTTTTTCTGAAGTCTGTGTACTCATCATTTCTTATAGCACAATAGCATTCCATTACATTCATATACAACAACTTGTTCAGCTATTCCCCAATTGATGGGCATCCCCTCAATTTTCAATTCTTTGCCACCACAAAAAGAGCTGATGTGTATATATATATATATATATTATATATGTATATATAATATATATATTATATATATAATATATATGTATGTATGTATATGTATGTATATATGTATGTATGTATATGTATGTATATGTATGTATATATATGTGTGTATGTATGTATATTTGTGGGTCCTTTTCCCATTTTTATGATCTCTTTGGGATACAGACCTAGAAGTAGTATTGCTGGGTAAAAGGGTATGCCCAGTTTTGTAGCCCTTTGGGCATAGTTCAAATTGCTCACCAGAATGGTTGGATCAGTTCACAACTCCACCAATAATGCATTAGTGTTCTAATTTTCCCACATCTTCTCTAGCATTTATCATTTCCTGTTTTATCATGTTAGCTAATCTGATATGTGTAGTGTGGTACTTCAGAGTTGTTTTGATTTGCATTTCTCTTATCAATAGTGATTTAGACCATTTTTTTCATATGACTATAGATAGCTTTAATTTCTTCGTCTGAAAACTGTTCAAATCCTTTGACCATTTATCAATTGGGGAATGACTTGTATTCTTATAAATTTGACTCAGTTCTCTATATATTTTAGAAATGAGGCCTTTATCAGAGACACTGGTGGCCATTTTGTATTTCATAATGTTCTCTATCTCTTGTTTGGTTACAAATTCTTCTGTTCTCCATAAATCTGACAGGTAAACTATTCCTTGCGCTCCCAATTTGCTTATAGCATCAGCCTTTATATCTAAATCGTGTACCCATTTTGACTTTATTTTAGTATACAGCGTAAGATGTTGCTCTATGCCTAGTTTCTGCCATACTATTTTCCAGTTTTCCCAGCAGTTTTTGTCAAATAGTGAGTTCTTATCCCAGAAGCTGAAATCTTTGGGTTTATCATACAGTAGATTACTATAGTCATTGACTACTGGGTCTTATGTACCTAACCTATTCCACTGATCCACCACTCTATTTCTTAGCCAGTACCAAGTAGTTTTGATGATTGCTTCTTTATAATACAATTTATGGTTAAGCCACCTTCCCTTGCATTTCTTTTCATTAATTTCATTGATGTCCTGGACCTTTTGTTCTTCTAGATTAATTTTGTTATTATTTTTTCTAGCTCTATGAGGGACCTTGGTCTTTTTAAGCAAAGGTCTTTCCCAGGTCTCAGCTTGACTGAGGCAACACCCATTCAGTGATTAAGGCTAGGTAAGAAATGAGGCAAGAATGTTCTCTTTTACCTAGTCATAAAAAAAATCAATCTGGGAGGGGAAGACCCTCAGGGTTTCTGGCCAAAACAGAAACAATTGCTATTTACACTCACTCTGAGCCATCAAAACTTAAACAATAACCAAGTGAGACTTGGGTTGGGACTTATTGTTGGCCTATTGTTGGAAGAGCCAGAGTGATTTGGGTTTAAGGCATGGTCCTTAAAAAAAGAAATGTAGCTCATAAACCTCCAGATATCTTGTGAGGTTTCAGCAATCAAAATTTATATTCCTTGGGGCAGAGCACCCACAGGTAAGGGTATGATTCCCTATATGGACAGGAGGAGAGGAGGGAGGGAAGGCAGGAAGGAAGGAGGGAAGGCAGGAAGGAAGGAGGGAAGGCAGGAAGGAAGGAAGGAAGGAAGGAAGGAAGGAAGGAAGGAAGGAAGGAAGGAAGGAAGATCTGGTACATAGTATTTATTGTTCAGTCATTTCAGTCATGTCCAACTCTTCATGACCTCATTTGGGGTTCTCTTGGCAAAAATACTGCAGTGGTTTGCCATTTCCTTCTCCAACTCATTTTACAGATGAGGAAACTGAGGCAAACAGGGGTAAGTGACTTGCCCAGGGTCATGCAGCTAGTAAATGTCTGAGGCTGGATTTGAACTCAGGAAGATGAGTTCTTGATTTCAGTTCTAGCACTCTATCCACTCTGCCACCTAGCTGCTCTGGACACATAGCAAGCACTGTATAAATGTTAGCTATTATTATTCATTTATAAGTTGCTTATGAAATATATTTGGTTAGTAAATATTAAATGAAAATCTTCCAAAGACAGGAATAAAACCTAAGCCTCAGCAGCACTTTCAGAGGATCACAGAGCTAGAAGGTGTCATTTGGTCCAGACTCATCTTACCCAGGAGAAAACGGAGGGCCAGGTGGTTGAAAGGATTTGCCTAAGCTTGCAGAGGCAGTGAGTGCCTTAACTGGAATTCAAACCCAAGTCTTCTGTGGCTGTAGCAATCTTATTCTTGCACCATGCCACCTTTTAAGTGAGTGCTATCCACTGGAGTTATCTTCAAATGGTCACTTGTGGACCTTGTAAAAATTCATGTATTTTTTCAAAGCAAAATAATATGAGTCCTCTCCTCCCTCGACCCCTCAAAAAAAAAAAAAGACTACACTTGGAGACTGGAAAACCCTTTAACTGTAAATTTTCACCCAGACAGTGGTCTCACCCAAAGAAAGATTCTTCCCTAGGATATCTCTCCAGTCAGGGATCCCAGGACAGTAGCAACACTTTTTATTTCTTATGCTAGACTTTTAGTTTTATTGCCATTTATAGCATTAGGGGATTTGAACTGGAAAGGGATTTTAGACTACAGATATCTTGACCAAACTCCTCATTTCATAGAAGAGGAAACTGAGGCATAGAAAGGGACCTGACTGACCCAACATCACAATGGTAGCAAAGCCATGTTTTTCTGCTTCCAAATTCTCTTTTCACTTTGCCAAACAGAATGGGAAAGGGGACCCCACCTGAGACCTCCCATGCCTGCCTGACCTGCTTAACCTTGGCCTCCAGTCATGATCCAAGCACTATTGCAGCTTGGTTGGAAAGATGGCTGGGCCATTAAGTTTTACATGGCAGATCAGTGAATTCTTGCCTGGACTTGCTACCTCTGTTTTGAAAGCACTAGCTATGCTGGTCACAACCTAACTAGGTGATGGCTCTTTGTTGGTAGTAGGTTATTTCGTTTTTTTTTCCTTTTTTCTTTCAGGCCTCTTTGCTTTGTGAGCTACCTCATTTCCTTGGGTTTATTGTTGTTGCTGTTGTGTTTACAACCTAGCGTTAATCTATTTACTGCAGCTGGGCTAGGCTTGGCCCTGTGCTGATTTTCAGTGGCTCTATTGAGGATAGCAATGTGGGGAGAGGTGGGGTATTTAGAAACTACACAATAACATCTTAGTTATTGAATGTCTGACCTGGGAAAATGTCCAAAGAAAGTGTTTTTCAGCCTTCCTCTCTCCTCTCACTCCCCTAGCCAAAAAGAAATAATTTCCTTGTTATATTTTTACAGAGGCCATATCAAATTCGCTCTGGCACATCTACTCATGACATTGCTCACATGTTTAAGACAGCAATTGTGACCTTCCCAGCTTCATGGTCAGTAGGAATGGTGACACTGCTGAAAAAGGTAAGAGGAGGGGCAGCATGGTCCCCATGACTAGAGAGTATTATGAATAATTGTCTATGTTAATGTAGCAGTATATACTTTCAGGCCACTGAACTTAAAGTCAGAAAATTCTGGGTTCAAATCCTGCCTTAGATACTTACTAGCTAGGTGTCCCTGGGTACATCACTTAACCTGCCTGCCTTAGTTTCCTCAACTGCAAAATAAGGGGGTTGGATGGCTAATATGGAAATAGAGTCTACATGATTTCACATGTATAATTGCTATATTTTGCTTGCCTTCTCAATGTGTGGGGGACGGGCTGGAGGGAGAGAATTCAGCACTCACAAATGTTTTTAAAAATGAATGTTAAAAATAAATACTACCAGCCACTGAGAAATTCATCAATGGCCTTCCCTGCATGCTCATAAGGACTGGGCTCTACATAAAAATGATGAGGCTGAACTACATGGCCTTTCTTCCAGCATAGGATCTTTGATCCTTTGTATGACAAGTTCTCCTAACTGGAGAAATAAATAAAGGGTTTGGGTTCTTTAGCCTCTGAGGTCCTTTCCAGCTCTACTTCTTTGATTTTAGGATCTTAAACTTACAAGCTTCACCCCATTTGCTCTTCATGATAGCTCTGGTTGCTAATGCAAGTATTATGCTCCCCATTTTACAGAAAGGAAACTGGGGTCCAGGAAAGGGAAACAACTTGCCAGATGTTCCATACTTAGTGTCAGAGCCAGGACTCAAACTCGGATCCTCAGTCTCCATCATCAGAACCATTTCCATTACTCAACAAACAATAAGCCCTTATATTTGCATAGTTCTTTCATGTGTTTAAAGTGCTTCCCCATATATCATCTCACTTAATTTGCTAGATTAAAATGTTCTCTCTTTCCTCAAATTTTCCTAGTGCTTCGTCTGTATATACCATATTTTGCATCATACTTATTGGTGAACCTGTCATTTGTTGTTGTTCAGTTGTTTCAGTCGTGTCTGACTCTCCATGACCCCGTTTGGGGTTTTCTTAGCAAATAAGCTGGAGTGGTTTGCCATTTCTTTCTCCAGCTCATTTTACAGATGAGATGACTGAAGCAGACAGGGTTAAGTGACTTGCCCAGGATCACACAGCTAATAAGTATCTGAGGCCAGATTTGAACTCAGGTCCTCCTGACTCAAGGCCTGGCACTCTATTCACTGTGCCAGCTAGGAGACCTTGTCATACAAAGGATTAAAGATCCTCGGAAGAGAGGCCATGTAGTTCAGCCTCATCATTTTCATGTAACCAGGTCATTGAGCCCAGTCCTTATGAGCATGCACAGAAGGCCATTGATGAATTTCTCAATGGCTAGTTCTCCATTACATACAAATGAGGAAACTGAAGTCTAGAGAGGAAAGGTGTTTTGCCTAAGGTCACATGTGTAATAATTGGCAAATTTGACATTCAAAACCAGATAGACGCCCTGATTCTAAGAGCAGCATGTGCACCAGTGCATCTTGTAGACTCTAAGCTCCTTGAGGTCAGAGACTATGCCATTTTGTATCGTTCTCACCTTAGTGTCTTAACATGGTAGGCATGTAATAAGTATTTGTTGAATTGAACATTTGTTAAATTGAATTCAACAGGTATTTACTGAGTACCTACTGGGTACTGTGAGAGATACAAAAGAAACATAAAATATGATCCTTACCTTAAAGATGCTTAGAGTCTTATTAAGGAGAGAATGAGTTAATGGAGAAATATTTCTTGAGCACCTACTGTATTCACAGAACTGGGCTAAGCACCGTAATGACACCAAGAACTACATTCCTTTATAGGAGCTTATCAGCTTATAAGAACACATAGAAAGATTATTAGGAATATGAAATGGTGTAGTATAGGAAAGATGCCAAATGTGGAGCAGAGAGAATGGATGTCACAGGAATGAATTTAAAAGAAAAGATAACTGAGACACGTGGAACAATTGCTCACAATAACATTTTCATCTGACAAGGTTGGATACTACCCTCTGGTGGTTCTGCTGAAATAAATCTCTTGCTTCAGTCTAATTTCTACTGATTTAATCCTGATAATCTTAAAATCATAGCTGTAGATCTAGAGGGACTTCTGAGGCCAGCTAATCCAGCCCTTTCATTTTAATGATGAGGAAAGCAGAAGAAGAATTAATAATAATAACAGTAATAGCTAGCATTTGTATAGCGCTTTAAGTTTTGTAAAATACTTTACAAATATTATGTCATTTGATCCTGAGAGGTAGATGATATTATTATCCCTATTTTGTGGATGAGGAAACTGAGGCAAATGGAGATTAAGAGGTAGGATTTAAACTCATCTTTTTTTTTTACTTCCTTCTTTATCAACTGTACCACCTAACTGCTCCTAAAACTAAGGAAATTGAGGTCCAAGGAAGTTAAAGGTCATATACATCATGTCAGAGGAGTTTTTTAACCCAAGTCCATGAATTCAGAATCAGTACATTCTCCAATCTCTATTTACTCCTTCCTTTGACAGCACATCATGAAAATGCCTCCGCTCCAGTGAGCATGGCTGATTCCTTTTGCTCAAAGGTCACAACACTTAACTTTCTCTTTGGTTTCTGAAATCATTCCATTTTTGTTAGGGAGCAAATCACATCTGTAAAACTTGTACAGCCAGGCCTATGACTAGTATTGGGCTATCTGGACTTTGTTACCAGGGAACCGACATATGGGGGTTGTAGGTCCTCAGATTCCCAGTGGTCCTCTGGCTTGTTGCCTTTTTTCTTTGTCTTTGTGCTATGACCCCGGGTCCCCATTGCCAGAGCCCCTTTCCCAGGGCCCATCTTTTCCCATCACTGCACCCCTGCCTGCTATCTTCCCATGATATTTGGGACCATCAGAGACCATCTGCTGTGTTGTGGAGGTCCAACCTCGACTCTTTGGGGGATAGTCCATTCTCTCTCATGGTATGGAAGCCCTGTGGAAGAAATTGTCCTCAGTCCCCCCTCCTCCAACTGAATTTGCCCCAGGTACAGTAATTCTTAGTGATCCTTCTAAGTACAGCTACTGTCTGAAAGGGTAGAAAGACTTGTTATCTAGAGATATCATTCCCAAGCAATCCCACCTGGAAATGGGAAGGGTGGGGCAGGGTAAACATAACAGCTATTTACCAGCATCTGGATGTAATCTATGAAAAATAGAAGACAATTTATATGATTGAAACCATAAGAAGAATTTAAAAAATAAATTGGTAAAATCAGGCTACCCCCAAAAAAGGACACCAATTTTCTTTTCTTTAATTATTCAGAAAGAATAATATTTCAATTTCATAGTGGGAACTAAATAGCAAGACTCAGGCTCTCTATTGTCTGGTCTGCAGAACATTCTCTAACCCTGTTTGGGACAGTTGTCTGGCCCTGATGGAGGTATGGAGGAGGGGAGGGATGGGTGTATATCTTCCCTCGGTGCTATCGCAGCCAAGGTATTTATTTTTCAGCCTGAATCTGTGGGTGAAAGCATATTTTCAGAACAGATTCCCAAGTGACAGAAATTAGTCTGCAGGAACCTTAGAGATGTTAGGCAGCTGTGACTGTCCACATCTCTTTTAACAGCTTCTCCAAATTTCTTTCTTCACATAGGTCCTCCCTTCTTGAATGGATAATGTGGTATAAACAAATTTACATTTGCACCCATTCCTGCCAATATATTTGGTAGCTGAATTTATTGTATGCGGGCCAACTAGGTGAGGTCCCTTTGTAAGTAAAATGTAGCGTAGTGGAAGGAGCTGTGGTCCCAAAGTCAGGGGTCTTGGGTTCAAATCCTAACTTAGTATAGGGTCACTGAGTCTCACTTTTCCTCATCCATAAAATGGTCATCATAATGTTTACAACACCCACCTCCTAGAATGGTGAGAAAAGCATTCTGTAACCCTTAAAGTGCCAAGGGTAGGCAAAATACAGATCATGGGCCAAATTTGACTACTTTGTTTTTGTGCAGCCTCACAAGCCAAGAATGTTTTTATATTTTTACCTAAAGTCTTATTATATTAAAAATATAATATTATTATATTATTGCATTATATGGAAAATATAGTTATATTATATTATATTAAAATATAATCTTATAAAAAACTAATCTTGGCTTGTGGGATTGTAAAAAAAAAATGGGTAATGGACCAGATTTGGACTTCCCTGGGACTGACTCAAAGACTTTCAATGGCTGTCAATTGCCACTCAGATTAACTATAAAATCCTCAGCTTCCATTCATATTCCACATTTCTCTTTTTCATGTATTCTCCATCCCAGTTAGACTTGCCACATGTGATATTCCATCTCCCATTTCCATTCACCTAAGTGGCTCATTGGATAGAGAACAGGACTTAGAGTCAGGAAGGCCTGAGTTCTAGTCCTGCCTCAGAAAATTCCTGGCTATGTGACCTGGAACAAGTCACAACTGCTCTCTGCCTCAGTTTCCTCATTTGTAAAATGGGGTTAATAATAGTACCTCCTTCCCAGGGTTGTTTGCTAGGATGAAATGAATGAACATATGTAAAATGATCTGCAAACCTTAGAGTACCATATAAATGCTAGCTATTATTGTTATTATTATGCTTTTTCACAAGTGCCTCTCTCCCATTTCTAGAATGTATTTCTTTTTTTACCTCCATCATATAGAATTCCTAGTATCCTTCAAAAATGCTATCTACTACAAAAGGCTTTTCTGTGACACCCTCCCCTCTCCCCCAATCATAAGCATTCTCTTTCTCTTGAAATGTATTTTGTATTTATTTACTTGGTGTACATGCTATAATTGGGACAGCTAGATGGCACAGTGGATAGAGTGCTAGACCTGAAATCAAGAACTCATCTTCCAGAGTTCAAATCTGACCTCAAACACTTACTAGTTGCATGACCCTTGGCAAGTCACTTAACCCTCTTTGCCTCAGTTTCCTCATCTGTAAAATGGCCTGGAGAAGGAAATGGCAAACCACTCTAGTATCTTTACCAAAGAAAACCCCAAATAGGGTCACAAAGGACTGGACACAACTGAAACAACTCAATAAGAACAACAAAATCTGGACCCAAGTTTCTCCCTTTTCCAATCCATCCAAGTGTAAGATAGTTGTGATTGAACAACAACAACACTCTGTTGTGATCCCCCAGCAGAATGTAAGCACCATTTTATTTTGTTTTATCCCAAGCCCCTTATGAGTACTTGGTGCATTGTGTGTATTTAATTATCATATGTTAAATTAAGGACCAGTCTTGTTAAGCCATGGAGAAGCTTATCACTCAAAGGTTGGCCACCAAAATGATTCACATTTTTGACAACAGCAACTCATGAAACCATCTACTAAGGTGTGGGGAAGTTGTGATCTACATTACACAAAAGAGTACCTACATTGATGAAATCACAGATTTTTGAGATGATGAAATTATGACTTTTAGGCAATGCTGGTAGAAGTGGCCAAGAAGGCAGAAGGGGCAGATCCAGCTGTCAAGGTTGACGGCCAGGTGTGATCATCACAGGACTGCTCCAGAGCTAAGTGACCACTAGAGCATTGAGACAACTTCCCAAAGTTGCCACTGGTTGTCCCCTTGATTTTTTGTTTCTTTAAAGTTTTGTACATTGTGAGACTCTATGTTCCCAGATGAAAAAAAATTTTTAAAAGACTAATAGTTTATATAGTGATTTAAGATTTGCAAATTTCTTTAATGTTACCTCATTAAAACCTCACATCAACCCTGTGAGGTAGGTATCATTATTATCCCCATTTTATAGATAAGGAAAATGAGACTGAGAAAAATTAAGTGACTTGCATAGCATCACATAACTAGTAGTGGTCTGAGAAAGGCTTCAAACTCCGGTCTTTATGACTGTTAGTCCAACACTCTATTCACTACATCAGGCATGTCCAAACTCCCTGTCTGTGGGCCTTGAAAGGCTGGCAATGTTTCCTAGTGCTGCTAGAACCAGATCAAAATGTAACTGGGAAATGTTAACAAAAAAATCAATGAAAGTACAGTACAACATAGATAATATTAGTTTGTGGATTTCCAAGTCAATATGTGGTCTGCAGGGATAGTTTGAGGCACAAGCCAGCTCCAGATAGTTCAAGATAAAACTGTAATCACAAGTCTCCAGATAACACTCATATTAGTGGAACTTTTCCCACATGAAAGTGATCACCCTCAGTTAATATCTTCACTTTATGAAACTTGTCACTTCAACTGCATCCTACTCACTCCCCCCACCGCCCAAACTCACTGCTGTGGGGAGTGGTGCTTTGAAGTGTTCATTGTACCCTTTCCTGGAGAGGAGGTGGAGGGGAATTTTTAATACCTTGATATAAAAGAGATAAACAGGAGTTGAGCAGTGGAACTTAATTCCTGTTGAAATGGGGATTTGTTTTTGTTTTGTGGTGGTTGTTCTTTTTAAGGCAATCCCTTGAGCAAAGGTAACAGTAGAGAAGCAATTAAAATGGGCAACCAGGGTCCCAAATTTAGAAAATACTGATAGTACTTGCAACCCTTTAGTGGAATAGAAGAACTGAGCTTAGCACCGAGTGGGTAAGAATAATTAGTTAAAATAGGAAACTATTAGATGGTAGGCCAGTGGTGACATTCCATCTCTGTCCTATCCCTGTTCCACCATCTCTCATGGCAGTGGTCTATCCACTAATATTTCTGTTGCTTTCCTCAGGAATATTTTCTGTCACTTGTTCAGGGTGCAAACATTTCAAATTAGGGCTCTCGTGTGGGCAGAAGAAGATGGGAATAGCTTAGGGAAGAAGGAAAGTCGCAACAGCAACTCCAGCAAAAGAAAGCGCTTCTCACTAAGTATCCTTTCTTGACAGTTTGTACAGTTTTTCAAAGATGCCCTTCCATATGGGGAAAGCCGCCTCTGTTGTTTTCGAAGTGAGGTGATATATAGTTTACAACAGGGTCAATGTGGGGCCGAGTTAAATTTTAGGGCACATGAGATCATACCTCTAGAGCTCTAGGGACCTCAGAGGCCGTCTAGTCCAGTAATCTCATTTTACAGATGAGGAAACTGAGTCCCAGGGTGGGTTAAGTGAGTTTCCCAAGGTCACACAGGTTGTAAGTGGCAGAACTGGGATTCAAACCCAGACCTTCTTACTCCAAATCCTATACACTTTCTACTCATCTTTGTCTTACCCATGTGTCATTCATCTATGAGTAAAATCATACAATTTACTTCCCGGTCCCAGACAAAGACACGGATGCTAAGTGGAAGACTTTTCCATTTTGTTCTCAGTATGACTGACATATTTCTAGTTAGAGCCTCACTCTTCCCCATTAGATCATTTCCAGCATAACAAGAAATCTGTTTATCATACACCAGCTAAACCTCACCAACTAAGCCTCAAGTCTAAGCCCCAAGTTAAAGTGAGCATTATCTCTATACAGCTAATATACCAAGTGACCTTTCTTGAAGAAAGTCAGACATTGAGTGGAATCAAGCAATCAATAAACACTTATTAAGTACCATAAGTTACACCATCAAGAACATAAGAAAAAATCTCGAAAGTCCAACTTATTTTCAGTACCTTAAGAGCCCACCGTTTCTTCTGTTTGGATGTTCCTGCTGGCAAGGCAGTTCACAGTCCCTCAGTTTATGTTGATGGTTGAATGAATTGCTATGGTCAGAATAACTCATCACCTCGTGTTCACTTTTGTAGTGATGGGGCCCATCAGACTGAAGTAGGCTGGTCATCAGATGGCAGACACAGTCTATTCTTTGGCCTATACTCAAAGCCATGTCAAGTTAGCAGGACCTGCCAGAATTGACATCACCTTTGAGAAGCCATTGTCCCCTCCACACATCAATGAAGTGTTTTCTAGAGACTTTAGTAGAGGCAAAAGTCAATTGTGTGCACAAGGCCATTTATTCTCATATATCCATATCCTAGCAATTTCTATGCTATCTCTTTTGTATTTTAAGATAGCAATCTTTCACTTTGTTTTGACAGTTTATTTAACGCACCAAGCATTATTTAAGTGTCTACTCTGTGAAAAGGAGCAGTTGGCTAGTGCAGTAGAGAATGTGAGGCCTGAAATCAAGAAGATTTATTTTCTTGAGTTCAAATCTGGCCTCAGGCACTTACTAGCTGTGTGATCCTGGGTGAGTTACTTAACCCTGTTTACCTCAGTTTCCTCATCTATAAAATAAGTTGGAAAACCAAATGGCAAACCACTCCAGTACCTTTGCCAAGAAAACCCCAAATGGGGTCATGAAGAGTCAGACATGACTGAAATAACTGAACAACAGAACTCTGGGCAAAGCACTATTATAGGCATTGGGAACACAAAGATGAAAATTAAAAACCTTTAAAAAATTAAAATTGTTCTTGCTTTCAAGGAGCCTATATCATACTGGAGTTTACAATATGTAAAGAGTTAAATAAATACATAGCAATTTCAGGCATGAAAGAGAAATGAAACTAGGAGGCTCAGGAAAAGCTTCCCATTCACAGAAGGCAGCGCCTGAGCTGATCCTAGAAGGAAGACAAGGATTCCAAAGAAATGAGGGGAAGAGGAGTCCTTCCTTGGTAGGCATGGGGGATCTGGGAGAGGTGATGAGTTCCTGAGGCCAATGTCTGATTCATTGGAGGGAAGAGGATTGATACAAGAGATGCTGTGGAAGCAGAACTGACCAGACTGCTTACTGGTAGAGAGTCATTTCTGTGAAATGAGGGTCTAAATCAGTGGTGTCAAAATCAAATAGAAACAGGAGCCACTAAACCATGTGTGAGGATCACTGCAGGTGGTATATCCATGTATTAATACTATCTACGTTCTGTTGTATTTTTACTTATCTTGTTCAGTGTTTCCCGATTACATTTTAATCTGCTTCAGGCTGCACCTGGGAGTGTTGTGGGTTCAGTGGCATGTTTGAAACCTCCGGTCTGGGTGATTTTTCATATTCCTTTCAAGTCTCAACCTTTGATTCTGTGACTTGGCAGCTGCTTGGATATAGATGGTAGGGGGAAGTGGAGAGAGATGTCTAAAGACATTAGAAATGGAACTGTCCATAAAAATTGGCCTCCCTGAGCCTTTCCATAGTCCATCATCCAAACTCTTGTGTTTTCTTGGCAGTTGCTTGAACAAAATCCTGACCACAGATTTTCTCAGCTATCAGATGTCCAGGACTGCTCCTACATGGCGGATGTGAATTGGGATGCAGTTCTGCAGAAGAGGCTGATGCCAACTTTCATTCCTAATGTAAGTCAGCTGAAAGAAGTCCAACCTCCCACTTCCTCACCACCCCCCACTGTTCATTTCAACACATGTTCCGAGTTTAGAGTATGTTTCTTCCTGCTTTTGAAGGGTCTATAAATTCCAGCCCACTGGGGCTCTACAGGGCAAAACTCAAATGTTGTGTTGCTATGTTGGTGTTTATAGCCTTTGCCTCAGGCCATCCCACATCACTGAAATTGTATATCCTGAAAAGTAGGAGGGAATTCAGTATGATTCAATACAGGAAGGATCTTAGTATAGGGAGCTCCACATTTATACTTTACCAAGTCCTAGAGACAAAAGCGAGACATATGAGGGACAGAGAGGTTATATGATTGAGGAAGAGGCTTGGTGTCACATAGCTAATATATGTCAGAGGCAGAACTTGAACCTTTCTCTTCCTAAGTCCAAGCTTAGTACCCTACCCACCAAACTAATGTTGCTTCTATACATTCGTCTGTGTGGATTAAATGCACACAGGATGCTAATCTATCAATAGCATTGCTATGTTTAGAGGCATGTTGGCAATACATTTTATGCCAGCATTTCAGGCCCTTAATCTGGTGAAAGTTCAGAGTTTGGGGTCTTTAACTCCACACAGAGCTCTTGTTTCCAGGCTGCAGAAATTCACACAGTCATTGTTCTGCTAGTATTCATTGAGTACCAATTTCGAGCTCAGCTCTATGCCGAGAACTTTTAGGGATTAAAAAATAGGGAAACCAAGGGACCCTGTTGTTCTTGAAGGAACTTACAGCTTACTTGGAGGGACAGACATTTCACATAATTGCACGGCAGTATAGGGCTGTCTGTGATCACATGTCAAGATATAAGTGGTAAAGCAAGAATCACTCCAGAAGTTTAAAAAAACATGGAGACATTAATGTGACTTAGCACATTTGGGGAAATCGCCGTTTCCATAAAGACTTACAGAGTTGGGGAGTGTCCCATGGTCTGGGCTGTAATGAATCCTTTGTAGGGAGTAAATTTCCCTTAATGTGGTGGAGACTAGAGGTAGGCTCCCCTCCCTAGCGAGTTAATTTTGTTGTTGTTGTTGAGTCGTTTCAGTCGTATCCAACTCTTTGTGACCCCATTTGGGGTTTTCTTGGCAGAGATACTAGAGTGGTTTGCCATTTCCTTCTCCAGTTCATTTTACAGATGAGGCAGCTGAGGCAAACAGGGTGAAGTGACTTGCCCAGGGTATACAGCTAGTAAGTATCTGAAGCCAGATTTGAACTCAGGTCCTCCTGACTCCAGGCCCCAATGCTCTAGCCACTGTGCCACCTAGTCAAGTAGTAACATAGAATTTAGAATTGAAAAGATCCTTAGAGATCATCTAGTTCAATCCTCTCATTTTACAATGGAGAACACTGAGGCTAAGGTAAGATGACTTGTTCCTGTTACACAGAGTCGGTAGAAAAGCCAGAATTTGATTCCAAGCCTTCTGCTCACAAATCTATTGCTCTTCCCATTAAACCCCAAACCAGCCCTCTGAGTGAGCAATCTCATTAGTGCCATAGCACTTTTCCAGCAATGAAACCCCACAGTGACCCAAAACGTCCACAAACAAGAAAGGTAAAATGTAATTTAGAAAATATGTTTGTTTCCCTTTCTACCCAGAGTGGACTTTTGGAAGACAGAGAGAATAAAATATAAGCATAAAGAATGATGAATGCACTATGCCATGGAAGCAGGTGATAAATTATGTAAAGCACACAGTGGGAGCTCCGTTGTCTTTATTATCTTGGGCCTATTTCAGTTGAGACTTAGTTCAGTTCCTTCCCTAGATCTGGCCTATGTGTAAAGTGATATAAAAGGCTGAGTCCCGCTAGGGAGGTGACCTTTTCTTTTGTTCCCTACAGAAAGGCAGACTGAACTGTGATCCCACCTTTGAACTTGAAGAAATGATTTTAGAGTCCAATCCTCTTCACAAGAAAAAGAAACGACTGGCAAAGAAAGAGAAGGATACCAGAAAATGTGACTCCTCCCAGGTAAGCAACAGAATGCACATGTCCTCGACTCCTGCTGCTTGGGGCACACAGGAAAAAATCATGATGCCCTAAATAGGTGTTTAGAGTTGCTAGGGTGCTCTTCAATTCAGTACCCTGCCTGCACAGGGTAATGGTTTGTGCCATAAATCTTTTATTTCAATGAATTGTATTTTGTTAAGAATGAAGTTGGGATAGCCCACACCCAAAGATGTGCTAGAAAAAACTTAACAACTGGCTCTCCAGAAAAAAAAAAATGTACTCACAACATACTTTTTAAAAAATTTATTAATTTTTAATTTATGGAATAAAACAAGCCTTTCCATAATATAGTATACTAAAAAAAAAAGGGATAATTGCTCATGAAACTGCAAATCTATTATGTATAGCTTGCTATTCTTTTTAAACATATATTATCATGTAAATTTCTTTTTTCCCTTTTTTCCCCTCACCTACCCTCCCCCCTAGAGATGGCTACCATTCGACACAAGTATATATATGTATATATGTATGTATGTATGTATATATATGTAAAATCATTCTATACATACTTCTATTTATCACCTCTTTCTCTAGATACAGATAGCATCTTCCTTCATATGTCCTTTGTCATTAATTTGGATATTTATAATAATCAAAATGACTTTAAATTTTAATCTAGGTTATTTACATTTTTTCCACCTCTTTTTTAAGTCTAGAGTCAACAATCAACCAAACAATAAACCAAGCTCCAATGTATTTGCTGATTTCCAAGCTATAAATATGCTGACTAAAAATTTGCCTGTCAGTTCCAGCCAGTTCCAGCACACCCATCGGCACTTAATGCAGATGTCTATTTATTCAATTATTATTTATTAAGCACTTCTGATGTGCATAGCATGGGGCTGGGAGGTTAAAAAAAAAAAGAACATTTCTGGAGGAACTTATGCTAGCATGACAAATGACAAATTTATGCTGTCTAATCACAACTTGGCCTTCCTGCTGCATGACAGTCCTTTAATTCTTCCCTTATTGACCCTCTCCCATGTCCCAACCCTGCTCTTCTTCCCTCGGATCCCCTATACCACTTTATACCCTCTTGTTACTTCTGTCATTTCTTATTATGGAACTTTTGTAGGGCTTTTGTACCATTCAGAAGTTACTTGTTATATGTCTGCCTTATATCTTCCTTAAACCACGTGCTTTTCAAGGGTAGGTACTGTGTCATCTCAGTTGAACTACAGGAATGTTTATTTAAGTGCCTTAGGCTTTATGAAAGGCATGTTGGTAAGGCCTGGGAATACAAAGGCAAAAATAAAGCTCCTTGTCTGTCCTTCAGGAGTTTACATTTTCCTGAGGAGAGTCCTTATCTCTCTATTGAACTCTAGTCTTGCATCACCAAATGTCTGTTGGACATATTCACTTGGTTGTCCCATTGGCATTTCGAATTCAGTATGTCCAAAATGGAATTTCCCCCCACTAAACCTGATACTCTTCCAAATTTCCCCATTTCTATTGCAGGCACCACCATCCTCCTACACACAAGGTTCACAACCTCAGAATCAGTTTTGACTCTTCCCTCTCTGCCATGCCTCATATCTGAATAGTTTGCCAAATATTTTCAATTCTCCTTCCCTCCAATCTCCTGCATCTGTTTCCTCCTCCCCACTCACTCCATCATAGCCCAGGTCCTCAGCACTTTTTTGCCTGGCCTATTTCAGTAATCTCCTAGTCTCCTCACTTCCAGCCTCTCCCTTCTCCAACCCATCCTCCACATGGCTGCCAACATAATAGTAGTAATTAACATTTATATCATGCCAGGCACTGTGCTAAGCCCTTTACAATTATTGTCTCATTTGATCCTCACAACAACCCTGGGAGGTAGGTGCTGTTATTATCCCCATTTTAGAGATGTGGAAACTGAGACAAACAGAAGTTAAGGGACTTACCCTGGGTCACACAGCTAGTAAACGTCTGAGGCTGCAGTTGAACTCAGGTCTTGCAGTGTTCTATCCACTGCGCCACTTAGCTACCAAGCTACATTATCTTCCTAAGGTACTAGTCTAACCACATCACTACCCTCCTCAAAAACCTTCAGTCGCCCCATATTGTTTCTAGGTCAAAATACAAGTTCTGCTGCCTGGCTTTTAAGGCCCTTTACAATCTGGCTCCAAGCTACCTTTCCAGATTTACTTCCTATTACTCTTTTTACACTTCAACAGAACTAGCTATAAGCTATTCCCTGAACTTATCATTCCATCCCCTACTTCTGTTCCCTACATCAGGAATGGACTCTCCCTATCTTTACCTCCCCAAATTCTTATCTTTCTTCAAGGCTCAGCTCACATCTCATCTCCTTCACAGAACTTGCCTAGACTCACCCCAATCTCCTACCTCAAATTAATATTTGTTTACTTGTCTATGCATATCGATACTCTCCTCAGGAAAATGTAAACTCCTGAAGGACAGACAAGGAGCTTTATTTTTGCCTTTGTATTCCCAGGGCTTATCAGCATGCCTTTCATAAAGCCTAAGGCACTTAAATAAACATTCCTGTAGTTCAGCTGAGATGACACAGTACCTACCCTTGAAAAGCACGTGGTTTAAGGAAGATATAAGGCAGACATATAACAAGTAACTTCTGAATGGTACAAAAGCCCTACAAAAGTTCCATAATAAGAAATGACAGAAGTAACAAGAGGGGATAAATTAGAAACAGCCCCTCAAAATTGCATTGTACTTTATGCTTTTCAAAATATCTTCATTTATGCTGTCTCGTTTGACCCTCACAACACCTCCTGTAACACGAGGACACCCCTGTGTTACTAGAGCCAGCTCAAACTGGCTGGGGAGCTGATTGTTAAATATTCAGTGGGAGTATTTACATCCTGGAAATTGGCAAATGCTACAAATCAGGGCTTGATTTATTGTTATACTGATTGTCTAGACTTAAGAAAGTGATGAAGAAAATGTTAATAAGGCAGATTAAATGTAAAAGTGTGTCATGTACATTTTGAGGGGGGGAGCTGATTGTTAAACATTTACCAGCATATCCCTAGATATAACCCACTTACATGAAAGCTCTTTGGGTCTTCAATAAATTTTAAAGCATGTAAAGGGGTCTTGATGATACAGATTCTGTGCTTTCCAAAGGAAAAAAAATGAGTGTGGGTGGGAGGTGGGCAGAGGTAGCCAACTCTCATATATGGGAAATACAGTAGAGTTTGAATGCTTGGCAGTTTAGTTCAAGAAAGGACCTTAGTGTCTGGTACCTTATCCTGCCAGGTGATCTTCAGAATTTTCTGAAGACAATTCAAATGGAAGTGATTCATTTTCCTGGCATGGCACTGGTCTACCATCCAGGTTCACAGACATACAACAATGAGGTTAGCACAACAGCTCTGTAGACCTTCAGTTTGGTAGGCAGTCTAATACCTCATCTCTCCTACACTTTCCTTTGGAACCTCCCAAACACTGAGCTAGCTCTGGCAAATGTACACTTGCCTAAAATTGTATGGAAAACTTACACAAGGCAAGCGTTCATATGGTGATCAGAAGAAGCGATACAAGATCATTCTCAAGGTCTCTTTTAAGAACTTTGGAATTGATTGTATGACAAGGGAGACACTGGCACAGGACCACCTGGCATGGAGTGCCCTCATCAGAGAAGATGCAGTGCTCTATGAGTAAAGCAGAATTGAAGCAGCTCAAAAGAAACAGGAGATGTCCAAATTTAGAGAAGCCACTCCAATTTTCCCATGGACTACCTGTCCAACCTGTGGTAGAACATTCCGAGCTCATATTGGTCTGATCAGCCACAGTCACATGTACCATAACTTGACTCTAAAACAGTGACACCATTTTGGTCGTCTTCAAGAACGAAGGACAACAATTGTAGGAGATACACATATGCCAGGGTCAGAAAGCCAGGATTTGATCTGTCCTGTGCTATTCCCCATCTTCTGGGCCCCACTGGGTTTCAGTCAATGGGGCCACTTTCCTAGAATTGAATTGAACATTTGAAACAAGAATCTTAAGGTTTGCCTTTGGCCACCAGCCTCACATGAGAAGGATTAAAACTCCCTGTGCTGAACTCTGGCCTCATTCTCCGCTGCTTAAGGGTCACATTTTCTTGAAGAAGAAGAAGAAGGGAAAAAAAAGAGCAACACTTAACAGGAGAGTTTGGATTTAAGCCATGCATGTGGAAAGGAGGCCAGCAACCCAAGCATGAATGTTTTAGTGGCATCCAGCTGTCTCCTGATATCCAACTTTTGAACCTTTGTCCTCAGCTACAGGGGAAAGAATCCCTGCCTAAGGAACTTTGGCCATGCTAGAACAGTTTACCTTCTTCCTGCTCCCTCCAGGCCCCCTCCACAGAATTACAATAGGCATTCTCAACATGATTCTTTTTTCACTCAAATTAATTGGGTAAGTCTCATTCTGAGCCTCAGTTTCCTAGTCCATAAAATGGAGATAGAGGTACCTGGAATACCTGTCTCAGAGGGTTGCTGGTGAGGTTCAAATAAGATACTGTGTGAGAAGTGCTTTGCAAACCTCAAAGAGCTCTAGAAATGGGAGATATTAGTCATAAGAAAACAAGTTTCATTTATAATTTCTTTTTTTAAAGATTCATTCATTTGTTTATTTTTAGTTTTCAGCATTCACTTCCACAAGATTTTGAGTTCTAAATTTTAAATTTTCTCCCCATCTCATCCCTCCTCCATCCCCAAGACAGCGTGCATTCTGAAAACCCTTTCTCCGAATCTGCCCTCCCTTCTATCTATCCCCTGCTTCTCTTATCCTCTTGCTCTTCTATTTTCCTGTAGGGCAGGATAGATTTCCATACCCATTGCCTGTATATCTTATTTCCAAGTTGCATGTGAAAACAATTTTTTAACATTTGTTTTTAAAACTTTGAGTTCCAAATGTTCTCCCTTCCTCCCTCCCCACCCACCCTCATTGAGAAGGCAAGCAACTCAATACAGGTTATACTTGTGTAGTCATGCAAAACACTTCCATAGTAG